GCTCCAAAGTGGACTGCACTGCCATTCACTGCCCCCTCCCATTCAACAGATCCAACGGTGACAATAACACAATGTTTTCGCTCAAACTGTCAGCTCAGTTTACAAGGTGAAAGCCAAGATTCATTGATCTCAACGTGTTCTTTGCTAGAAAAGCATCAAACTACCATGTATCGCTAACAGTAACAAGACGCAGACGGAGAAATGAAACATGACAGCCAATTTGGTGAGTTGCCAAATAGAATTCTTCTTTCAGTAACCAATTTTTCTTACGCCGCTATTTATTCTCTTGCAGAACCGATTACAAAACACACGCTGTTTTGATTTAAGTGAGTGAGCCATCCTCAACAAAATAATCCATTTCAATGCAAACAGAAGATGCTTCAAATCTTGCAACGACACCGCTTTTGCACTTGCTAAATATACTCACATTCAAGGGAAAGTTCAACCCCCGCAAACTGTTTTGCTCTACCAAACAACACTGCAAAGCATATGATACAATACATTGTGTAAAATATTAAATTTTTAAATATTTTGTTTTGCACAAATCAATGTCTCAGCTTTGTATATAACTGATAAAAATACTCCGCGCTCAAATGAAATGCTCATGCTGCCAAAGCAATTCATTCTTTGATTTTTTCTTAGCTGTGCTCAAATAATTTCACAGCACTGAACAGTGCAACATTGAAGAATTTGTGTTGGAAATTCAACGTATTACAAAGCCAAATGCATAATGCTTACTTGATCTCAAGACGAAATCAAAAATTTAATGCAAACCAACTGTTGAAGTTGAAAAGTTGACATTTTGATCAAATGACTGTCGCGGTTGATGATCACAACCTGAAGTCTCTTGAAAAAGACGACCAAACACACCAATGTGAAAACAATGGACACTTGTCAGTACAAGTTGAACTGGAAAGGCGTCCCGATGATGTGGAGCTTCCTGTTGTTTTTTCCTCCAAAGGTACACTGATTTTATTTGTTAATTTGTCAACCACATTAATGATTTATTTTATCTAGACGAAGCAGGTTTCATATCAACTGAAAACTGTGATGCACACAAGCCGAGGCACGTTCACGAAGTTCATTTTAATGATGATGACTTAAACTCATCCTCAGAGTGCGATCAAAATGGAGACGACGAGCAACATCAGCTGAAAAAACAACACTCCCAAATATCTAACAGCCTTCTCAGTCAGCATCAAAGCTTTCGTTTAACTCACCGTACATCGTTTTTAAGTTCCTGTAAGATTAGCCGAAATGACATCGACGACACTGACTCCCTGCCTGAAACAATGTCCTTCACTCGTCTGGACGAATTCTGTTTAATCTTCTCTATCACAACCTTTCTGCTAGACATTATCACCGACCTGACAGTGGCTACAAATCACTACCTGAACTCCGACTACTACTACTTTTCTTTCACCGTTGCTTTTATTGCCTTTCCAGCATTCGTCATGACTTGCATCAACCTTCGATGGTACATCGTTGACGCCAATGAACCAAACTCACCCAAGGCAACTAAAAAGCAGTGGTGCATTCGCGTGTTGATCTTGTCCCTTCAACTGGGCCCAGTAATGCGCTACTATGACTCAATTATATTCGGCCGCAACTTTCGGAACTTTAAGTCACGACACGGAACTAAATCTAAAATGGCTCGAAAGTATTTTCAATATATGATCTACGAAGACGCCGACGCCACGATGCTCCGGTTGTTTGAGTGCTTCCTCGAAGCGGCTCCTCAGTTGATACTTCAAATGTACATTCTCGCCGTGAGCAAGCGGTCATATCAGAATGATTTAGTCGGTATGTCAAGTAGTATTTCCAGTGTTCACTTTCACTAATTTTGCTTATCAAAATGATTTTCTCCGCACAGTTGTGGTTCAAATGTTCAGCGTTGTCGCCTCATTAATATCCCTTTCCTGGTCTCTCGTCTCGTACCTGCGAATTCTCCGCATGTCCCTGCCCACTAAGGTAAACATGTCATGGCCAGGCACAATAGTCCACTTCTTCTGGCGACTGTTTATGATCGCTTCGCGCGTTCTGGCCTTGGCGCTCTTTGCCTCTCAGTTCACCTACTACATTGGCATCGTCTGTCTGTGTCACTGGCTGGTCATGTTTCTCTGGATTATTTCAATGAAAACTGCCTTCTGCAATGATAACCGCCTTGAAGAGCTCTTTTACAACGCCGTCTTGGGCGTCATCTTCATCTTTTGCTACTTTAATCCTGTTGACAGTCCCACTAGAAGGAGGTACTCCTTCTACTACAGCTTTATCTTTATCGAAAATAGCCTTCTCATGCTCCTCTGGTACCGTGCTTGTGATGTCAACAAGTGGTATCGACTGCCCGGATTTGCCAGCTTTTTCGTTTGCTTTTTCTTGGGACTAGTCTTTATGGTGAGACTGTCTATTTTGCCTAATGAGTATTTAATGAATTTTTTTCCACCCACAGGTTATCTACTACCTGACACTTCACCCGACCAATAACATTGGTCTCTTTCGTTCGTCAGTAAAAAGTACTCCACAGCCTCCTGTCCAGCCCCGCTTCGTGTACTCAATCTCACAAGCCAATGTTGAGGAGAACGGTCTACCTGTGACTGCTCCGGAAAACAGTGCCAAGTACAAAAGACAAATTAGTGATGTTTGGACTACTCACGGAAGACTGCTCCACCCTCGGCCCACCATCAATAACCGCATTGCTGTTCATTCTTAAAATATAACATATTTATTAGAAGAATTAAATAAAAACAAGTTATTTGTTTAAAAGGACAACAGTGTTCTCTGCAATGCGATTAATGACACAATCCAGATTGTCGTTGCTCCAGAAAGGCTTCCATAAACTTTGCAGCTCATTGGTGGATATTTCGGCCAGTTGCTTTAGAGAGGCATTGAAATCAACAGTTACTTGCTGTTTGTACTTCAGGGTGACTATGGTAAAGGTTGAGTGAATCACCGAATTTTCCCCATCTGAAAACTGGTGGAGAACCATTGCATTCCTTGGATCAAGCTCTTCAAGGTTTTCAAGCAACAAAACTGATTTTCCTTGTTGTTGAAACGTCGTTTGGTACAAGTTTTCAATGTCACTTTGAGAGTGCTTTGAGTTGATTTGAAGTGAAGTAACAGGCAAGCTGTTTTCCCTACCAGCTGCTATGAGGTTTGCAAGTTGGTGAGAAATGTTGCGGACTAGGTCATTTTGCTCTGGGGTAGCCATCAACAACACTATTACTGGTGCCTTTTCTTTGTCGTCCAACGCGTTTTTAAAAGCATTTTTCATGATGGTCAAACCATAAACGGGTACATTTTCGTTGAACTGTGGCGTTTTTAAAAGTTCATTCAGTTCATCAATAATTTTGTCATGACTAGATTTGCCTGGTGTGAAACTTGTTTTCAAGAAGTCATTCAATTTTCCTGGCGATAAATCTTTATGCCACGCACCACCAAAGATAGCAATAATTAAAACTAGAAATACGATTAAATATCGTGAACACCATTTCCAGACTTTCTGATCATTTGAAATGTCGTCCTTTTCATCAAGTTCTGGAGTTTGTGGTATTCTTTCTTTCACTGAAGATGTTCTTTCTGAGACTGGAAGTAATCCTTTGTGGGGTTGAAGTGGTTCCTCCTGCTCTTGTAGATCTTGCGATGCTGAATCATTTAAGTCTTTTTTAATCTTTTCTAGACTTTCAACACATTCAGCATATACTCTTTTAAGTTCAGTATTGCCTTCAGTTTTTTCATCAGCATTTAACTCTGCATTGTCTTTGGGGATGTGGTTACGTTGTTTTGACATATTTTTACTTTGGAGTCTTGTTGTTACCATCTTAATTATAAAAACATGTTAAATTAGTGGTACAACAATGTTTTGTCGGCGGCAAGTTGTCGGTTAAAAACACTTTTTTTTGGTACAACAACCGTCCGGAGAGGATGTGACAAAAGATATCTTTATCAAATATTTGTACAGGTTATCGGAAACAATTTATTGATACCACTGGCGATCAACCAGCTTAGGACGTAGGATTTTTGTTGTATTTTTATTTGTTATAAACAGAAAATTAATGGAAAAACAAGATAAAAGGAAACAAAGTGGAAGGAAGAGATGTGTAATCAAGTCAAGAACACCAGCGGCAGATAAAAACAAAGTTGTCGTCTTGGGCTGACTGCCAAACAAGAATGACTAGATGGAGAAAGAAGAACACACAAGACAGAAATAAGAGAAGCAACCAAGTGGGGTCATCCTCTCATGGTCAGTTGGCCCTGGTTTGTGGAGAATCAGAAGCCATACTGCTGTCGTCTGGCAATCATGTACTGATGCATCGAGAATGCCATCGTGGCAATGTAGAGACAGGCGGCAATCCAGCAGTTGTGGGCGGCCGACTCGTAGCGCTGGTATGCTTCGGGCAAAAATTCACCAATGCTGTCGCTCTCGATGGTGTGCAGCTCGAGGTCTTCGGCAAAGGTGACCGCGTGGCTGTACAGCAGAATGCCCATCAGCGTCAGCATGATGATACCCCATGCTGAGAGTAGGGAGCAGAAGATGGCCACCCGTTTGCTCAGGAGGATCATCTTCCTTGTTGGGGTGAAGCCCTTTGTACTGAGTGGTGAGGATACTCACAACGGGCACGATGGTACCGATTTGGGTGATTCAACTTGGATTCAGTCTTGGACCTCACACAAAACAGCCGTCTGAACGGAAAGGTGCACGCACAGCTTTGGGTCTGTGGTCCTCTTCTTTTCCACGGAGGATGTCTTGTCTTCTCTGGTTTGGTAACTGCGCTTTCCAAGTGCAATTTGATCCAGAAATGGGCGCCAGCCGGTTATATAGAAGTCTGATCTGGCGCTAAAATCCGAGCGAAACTGCTGAACCAGTGCTGTCCTCTGGTGATCATCACTTTCCAAAACTGATCAAACGCAAGTGTAAACAAAACAGATTTCAGTCACTGAAATTCAGTGTATCTTTTCTGTCAGCACCAGATTTTAACGCTGATTTCTGACAAATTCAAAACATGTCTTACCAATACATAGTAGAGGATGTCTTTAAGTGTAAGTGGCTCGATCAACTGCTAAAAAGATTGACTAATTAAGCACCATTTGTTCTTTACAGCTACTGATGAAGTGGTTAACCGAATCTTCAATCACAAGCCATTTCTGGAAGCGGAGATTCGTACAATGGTAAAAGACTTTGAAGAGGAGCCTAAGCATCGGGCAGGCGATGTAGACCAAATGCTCGACAGTGCATATGAGCGGATGAAAGATGTGAAAGACACGCAAATCGGCTGCGTCCAAGATTTCTGTGATATCAAATTGCCACCACTAATTGATCGAGTAGAGCAGATAGAGGAACTGATGAACAGTTTGCTCAAAATGGAATTTACCAAGAAATGTGAACGTAAGGAAAGATTGGACCAATTTATTACAAAAGAAAATGAAAGTCTTATTCAGTTTATGGAGCAAATGGATGAACGAATCAAGGAGATTGACAGTTCCTATGAGAAGAAGCGAGAGGAAATTCATCAAAAGTACAGTAGCAAAACTGCTATTGATTCCACTCAATAAGACTTTTCAAATAAAATTCGTTCTTATCGGTTATCGTACCGCCCGCGTTTGTCTCGCCCATCATCTCGGCGATTGTAGTTTTGTCTGCCGCCACCCTGGTTGTCGCCGCCATACTGATTACGATTGAAACCACCACGTCTACCCTGTGTCCGTTTGCCATTATAGTCGGGTACAACCGGCGGAGGGATTGTGGGCCTTTGGAGAGCATCAGTGAATGTCTTGTCTTCAGACGTGAAACGGTGACTGTACTTTTCGTTAAAGTACTCCAATGCTTCTTCGGTACTCATAGCTGCCAGCATGGTGGGTGTTTCCTAGATATATAAAACGACTGAGTTATCAAAAGCATTACTCATAAACTCATATCTTACTTCAGTCGAGGCCATTTTTGAAGAAATCAGAAAATAAAAATGAACTCAAGAAAGAGAGACAATGTTTGTTTGTACATAAGATTCCTGGGAACTTTTCTGTATTTGCTTAAGATCTTACCAAAATAATTATCGGAATTTGAAATTGGCTAGCTTCAAAATATCACTGGAATGTTGACGCACTTCTATGTACAGTGTAATCTACAAGTTTGTCACTATTTGCAGTTGTAGTCAGCTGTCGGTAAACTTTTCCATGTGCTTGATTGAACCGATAATCTGGTGATTGGAGTTTATGTCCCACTTGCTCATTGAAAGAAAGAGATTCGACGGGGTAATGTCCGACTTTTTCTTGGACAGTGACCAGAAGCATACGCTGGTGATGAGCTGCTCAGAGGCAAGCAAACCAAGCGGGAGAAACTCATTTCGCGTTTCGGCTACAAATGAAGCAATTAAAATAGACAGTGCGGTAAGGGTGATCAGAATGGTAAGTCGGGTGTACACGTTGAACAGTATTCGCAACTATGGATAATTACAACAAGTTATTTTTTTTCCAAAAATAAACAGATTCAGCAGTCCACTTACACTGTTTAAGTTGAATGCATACACCAGTCCAGTTGAGGCAATCTTGGCCAGTGAGTAGGTGAGCGCAAGAACAATCATCCGGTACCGAGTAGGGCTCAGCTCGATGACCTGAAGGACAGTAGTGATGGAGGAACACTCTGCCAGCATGACGCCCAACATGGAAATGGTCACATCGAGCCAGGCAACCTTCCTCAGCCACAGACGGGTGAACAGTGCCGCCAGAAGAACGGCCTCATTCAGTAGTAAGAGGGTGCAGTTTGACCACCGTCGACCAATTCGTTGCTCAATTAGGTACCATGTTAAGAAGATGGCGGGCATTTTAATGAGCGACCCAAAAAAGCTGTCAATGACCACATTTCCGTTGAGCCGTTCCCGTTCTCTGTGCATAAAGTCAACGATGAGGTCGTTTGTTAGCAGAACAAAGGAAAAGAGAAGAATCATCTGAAAGAGGGTGGATCGCCTGAGAAAGAGTTTGACACGTGCCAATGCAGTTGGACGGTGGTCTGTTTCGCTTTCACTGTCGACACTGCTTGCCCTGATTTGCCTCATCGTGGACTTGACCGCCGTTCGCTGGACACTCCTGTCCACTTTCTGGGCCTTTTGGTGTTGAGAACTGGAAAAGTGAGTGAATTTCTGTGCAGCCACAAGCAAGGTCAGTCTTTTTGTTGTTGTCTTTACAATTGCCCATCACTTACACTTATGATTGAATTCATCGAATCTTCGTCCATCTTTGCGTCATTGACTCGGTTGAGTTTCTCAAAAATTCTCTTTAGTCGTTGTGAATCCTTTTTTCGTGCTGCCAAAATCCAATGAGGCGTCTCATCTGCGACAAAAAGTACTAGAAGAAGACAAGGCAGAACACAGGCAGTGTTGAAGGCGGTAATGATGACCCAGTGGGCGACTGCTTCTGCCAGCAGAGAGGAGATCCATTCACCAAGTTGGAAGGCAATCCAAGAGAAGAGCAGTACATTTGAACGATACTGCGCAGGCATAAACTCGATGCCTAGTACCAGCACCAGAAATATGCTCATCGGGTAGACTGATCCATTCAGAGATTGAGTGGCCAGAAAAGCGTAGTAATTGGTGGTGAGGATGGGCGAAACTGCAGAGGCAAAAAAAGCGAACAGCACCAGAATGATGCCGACTTTTCTGCCGAATCTGCCAAAGGAAGCATGTTCACTAGTCGAAAACATTTTATTTTTCTGCATTTTCAACTTACCTGTCTGAAGCAAAAGCGAACAACAGACTGAGCAGTGCCGAAGATGCCTGCCGCAGCATCTTCACCTTGTGCATGCCATCCTTGTGCTGACACACAAAGTTGTACTGCAAGAGGGTGTAGAACAAGTTAAGTTGCCAATGCCCTTCCCCTGCTCCCCTGCTGGACTTACCTGCATGGCCGCACTCTGTCGGTACTGCTCTTGATTGTACACCCACCCGCTGGTGCACTTCTTGGTGGGAATGTTGGGCACCACTGGAATGTTGGACTCATTGTTGCCGCTTTTCACCACCACCACCAGACCGGTGACCACCTCATCGTAGTCGATGTCGTACATTTCGCAGTTTGAAAGTGTGCCACGACGTTGACGAAAATCCAGATCAGTTTTGAGGCGAGGTCGAATGAGTCGATGCTGTTCGCCGTAGGAAAAGTTCAGCAGCACCTTCACCTGGCACCAGTGGTCAGGCAGCAATTCATTGTACAGTGTACTCGACTGAATGGCCGCCAGAATGGCCAGCGGAAAGAGAACACATGACAGCAGCAACTTCTGGTACCGTCCGCAGCCTCCCAGCTCTTCGAGCACATGTTCGCAGTGAAACTTTTGCAGCATTCTTTGTCTGATGTCAAGTTTTCATCTCGCAAAACTCGGTAGATTCGGCGTTCGCTTGAGTTGACTGACAAGTGCAACTTCTTTGAGTTGGTGGGGCGACTGGACTGCCTGGACACGGCTGCTGCTGATGCTGCTGCTGCAGTGTTCAATTGAGGCAGCTGAGGAAGCCATGATGAGTCAGTCTTCAGAGAGTCTGTCGGCCGTCGTCTTTAATGGCACAACATCTGCCGCTCGGGCAATTAGCAGGTTGTGTGGTGCTGCGCACGGCACACCACTGACCACCACCACCACCATCGAAGCACGAGCAAGGTGTGAGTGAGTGAGTGAGCACTCTGCAGCAGCCATACATCGATCGACAGCCTTTCTCCTTCATCTTTACCAAAGTTTGCTCCAATACTCATTTGCATTTTGTACATCGAATCAATTTGAAAATCTGGCACTTCTGTGCAGTCCATCTACGAGCAGCATTACCTGGTGACAAGACACACCGAACACATCACTCATCGTCCGGACAACACTGCCATTTTTGAACATCTATTCCCTTCCGTTTGAGAACACACTACCGAGCAACACTAATTGTCGATAATTATAATCGCACGATCGCTGTTTCATGTTGGCCCATTTTATTTTACAAGTCCGTTCTCTTTGTCTTCCTTAATGTCCGTTGTTGTTGTGAGTGGAGCTACTTCAATTGAATGTATAAATTGTCACTCGTAGGTCAACTGTCACATCGTTCGTAGAGGGCAAAACAAATGATTTACTTTTGCCTGCAGTCCGTTGTCACCAAACTTTTTGCCATTATGCGTCAAGATTGCACAAGTTGCTGCTACACATTCTACCACATAAATCACTTTCATTGCACGCATCTTACACACAAACACACACAGGTCATTTGGTGTTTGGTGCGAACACAAATGGCAAAAGCAATCAGCGGAAAGGCAAAAAGAAAGTAGGCATAGCACTTCCAATCGACCCACTTTGCGTCGGTGGCGAAATTGATAATCTACTCGAATGTTCAACTGCCAAGTAAAAAAAGTGTCTTTAGCATTTTCTCCTCCTAAGATTACCACTCCGTTGACTGTCAGCTCCAACTTGTGACTGCTTTTTTATTGGTTATTGCTCAGCGCCCAATTAGTCACACAGTAGTCGCTGATTTTTAAAGTCGCTCTCCCAGCAAAGTGTGTGCGCGTGGTGTGTGTCTATGGTCGGTATCTCGGTGGTCGAGAAGGCAACCACTTGCCGATGAGCAGCCAACAAGTCTCAGCACCTTACTTGTGTGATCACTTGTGCACGCGAATTGGACGCTAAAGAGGATTTGCCTAATTGTCAACCACGGCGGCACTACTGGTACTATTATTATTAGATTTAATTACACTCGGCAGATGACTGAACTCTACTGAAAAAAGTGTTCTACTGGTGCATGGGAACTTTCTCGAACCGGCAAAGTACTCTACATCATCAGCATTGAACTAAATGCCATTTTGTCGCTGATCAAACGATCAAAGTTTGCCCACTGATTGTGCAGGGTGATAATTGCCGGCGGTACGTCTCCGCCAGGCTGCTTCTACTGCCTCTCGTTAGTGATCTGTTGACCAGCAAATGTGTGATTAGAATTGTCAACTAGCAAAGTTTCGGTTAGCTCAGTAGCACAGTGCATTGGCACGATTTCAGTATAGATTGAGCTGCGCCAAACTTTCCTGAGAATGGCGCTTGTTTCTCCGTATCCGTTGCTCTTTTGAATGCGACTGAAGCAAGACGTGATCTGAAAGAGTCAGTTGGCAGTTGTTGTTGCGAGTCAAAAATAACAAAGCAGTCTTTACTCTCTCTCTCTTCTTCTTTTTTGACTGTTCACATTGTGCTTAATGCTGGCCACACTCTAGCACATGGAACAAACGGGTGCAAAATAAAAACACACAGGTGCATGTTGCTGAAGAAAGAGTCGAAGTCAGGACAGACTTTGCTTAAATGCTTGAATGATGAAAGAATCGAAAGAAAATGAGAGAGAGAACAGGTGAGTGAAGGCAAGTGGAAGGATATACGCTCCACGGTAAGAGAGAAACTAAAACAGAAAGAGTCATTTGGTAGGGCAAAAGTAAAGAAAGCTTGCTAGTGCGGTCACGACACACACACTTTGCTCACCGGTGCACAATGCTCACTCACAGGCAATTGCACAGACATGGCCAGACTGAAGAAAGAAAAAGAACGGTAAATCAGCGTTGACGGGGAGAGCACTGTGCCGACAAAGAGGGGATGGAAAAAAAAGAGTAAGAG